TAGAATAATTAATCAGTGGAACAGCTTGCCTCCAGAAGTTGTGAATGCCCCAACACTGGAAGTCTTTAAGAAGATGTTGGATAGCCATTTGTCTGCAATGGTATAGGGCTTCCTGCCTAGGCATGGGGTTGGACTAGAAGACCTCCAAAGTCCCTTCCAACTCTGCTATTGTATTATAAACATCCTAGTCATTTTGAAGATAAAATTGCTCCTTTAACATAAATGACAGCACTATCATAACTAATCACACAAACACACTATAAGACTATAAAACATATTGAAAATAATAAAGGGATAGTTCCTGTAATAATACACTTGGCAGATGAATTTATTTACACAGAACAGAGTTTCCCTATTTCAGGTAAAGAAAATGGCAGTCAAATCATTTTTGTTCACATAGGACTCCACATTCTATCTGGAAATCATTTATTAGATCACAAATATATTATTACATATACGGCTGCGAAGATTTGAAAAAGACTACTATTATTTTATTTGCAGTTGAGTAAAAATATGCTCTAATAATAACAAACCTCATCTGTTCCAGACATGCCCCAATAAATGAAGTAGACAATGAAGCCAAATTTTATTGATATACTATTGGATATGAAGGCTAACAAGACTCTGAATCTTTAGCAAATACAATGGTAGATGGGAAATGGTAAGAAGAGAAATGCAAGCTGTGTGAGAATATAGGTAGCTGTGGATGAGAAGAACTTATGTTTGTGCAAGCAACAGTATTGCTATTGATTTTATCTTTTTCCATGTATATGTTGTTCCCCAGAATTGGGGAACACTTCAGGCAAGCATGCACCATGATATGGGGAGGAAGGGAAGAATTCTAGCAAGGATAAGAAACAACATTTCCAAAGTCTTGCATATATGAACATCATTTTATAAATTTTATAAACAATGTGAATGAAGAATTAAAAACGTCCATTCGTTACACTCTTAAGTCTTTTCCTAACAGCTAAAAGCAGTTACTGCTCTTATTTTAAGCACTATGAACATATGGAAATGAAACCATAGGTGGTTATTCTAACAACAATGATGCCTAAATGAAATATAAGTTGTGACATCATGGTACAAGCTCTGTTCTCATACTTGTGCTGTAACATTGTGTGTAAGTATAAGTTAGAGGCAGAGTTTGCATGTTTCATCACCTATCCTCCTTCCTCTCCTATTATCGGTAGTCCTCTTACAAACGAATGGTCATTCATTTAGTGATCATTCAACATTACAATGGCACTGAGAAAAATGACTTATGAACGTTTTTCACACTTACAATGCAGTCTCCCTCTGGTCATGTGATTAAAATTTGACTGCTTGGCAACTGGCATGTATTTATGATAGTTGTACTGTCCTGGGATCATGTGATACCTTTGGTAACCTTCTGATAAGAAGGGTCAATGGGGAAGCCAGATTCACTTAACAATCATGTTACTAACTTAACAACTGCAGTGATTTACTTAACAGCTGTGGCAAAAAAGTTTGTAAAATGGGACAAAACTCATTTAGCAACTGTTTCACTTAGCGACAAAAATCTTCAGCTCAATTCAGTTTTAAATTGAGGACTACCTGTATATGCTTCCCTTTGGGGTTAAAATATTTCTCCTTACAGTCCTGGATGAATTCTACGTTCAATCTGAAGCAAAATTCTGATCTAAATTTTAGCAGTGTACTACTTTCTTATATTATGAAAGCAAAAGTTACTTACTTCCATTGCTTAATGTAGTTTAAAGGATTAAGGTTACATCCAGCATCAGTTAGTGCTTTTTTGTACTGTTCCAAATCTGCCTGAAATGAAATGGATATTTGAAATTTGTGACAATTTAAAATGTATTAATAATAAATACACTAGTATGACAAGAAATAAGCTAATATTCATCTTCCAAATATATATAAATATAAACAGAATGAGCTATTACACATTAAGGCAAATGTCCCTGCCCAACCACTGCTGTGAAATTGCTAATCAAGAAAACAAGATCACTGCAAGAAATGATTCGAAGCAGTTACTTTTGTTTCTTTTTGAAGAAGAGTCTATTTGAGAAAATGAAAGGAAGTACTCCTATAAAATTAAGTTGATTTACTAATTATTTACTAAGAATTTTAGTATGTGTGATGGTCTATGACAATCTCATCCTATCAGACTAGTTGCCATGCTAGCTGGCTGTGAAGAAAGTTACAGTCGAAATATTTGGAGAACATAAGATCGAATATAATATAGATCAACTTTCTCAAATGCAAATTTTGAGGATTAAGATATATTTCCATTTCAGGTCCTCTAAAGGCAAGAGCTTAAATCATTATAAATACAACTTGATTGGTACAATATAAAAGTTCAGTAACGAAGAAATGCAAAAGATAGTATTTACAGATTTAGGTAACACTCATTTAACAAATATAAATAGATAACTGTAATAGATAACTATAACAGATATTATCTGCATAGTTTTCTTTAAACAGTTTATCTGCATAAATAGTATAAACAGTATATTCTTAAATAGTCTATCTGTTTATAAAACTCCTAAATTTGTTTTGATTTATTTAGTAGAGAAAAGGGTGAAAAAGTAAAAACTAGAGTATTTTATGACATCATTTAGTGATAGAAATTCCAGCCCTATTTACTATTGCTAAATAATAGTAATAATAATAAAACTATTGCTATAATATTTTCTGAGTTTGAGGTATGTACACACTATCCTTTGTATTTCTTTTTTTTAAAACTGAACTTCTATTTGTATCAATCAAGTTGTATTTATACTGATTTAACCTCTTCCCTTTGGAGGTCTTGAAAAACCAAGTTAGACTGTCATGGAGAAAATTGATCTGTATAGCTTGAGGGCCTATAATCAAACAATTAATCACTTGGAATTTTTATTAGTATTAATATTTAAAATGATTATAATGTAAATTGTAAAGTAAACAAGTTAGAAAACACTAAACTGTTAAGCTCAATGGGATTTTTGTTCTTTAAAGATGGTCAGAAAAGCTAGCTTTTGTTGTTAACTTCTACAGCTTTTTTGCTGACATAAAAACTTTTCCTGTGTTCCCTGACATCCACAAAATATTTTGATCTTTTAAACATGTTCACATAATAAATACTAAAATAGTTTACATATTGCTAAAACACTGTGTGGCCTATTTGGCTATGACATAGCATATTATGTGAATTCTATCATAATGGATAGATATAAACCCTAAACACATATTTTTATTCAACAAATTTAAAAAAAAGTTTAATGCAACACATAAACGATTCATTATGTCTGCCTGGATCTATGTACTTTTCTATTGGTCATAGGTTTGAAACAAAGTATTTAGAGTGCAACAGGAAATGACCAAAAAATCTAAACCAGAGGTGGGTTTCTGCTGATTCGCCTGGATCAGGGAAACCGGTAGTGGCAGTGGCGGGAGGCTCCACCCACCAGCCCGGATGCTTCTGTGCATGCGTAAAGTTTCTGTGCATGTGCAGAAGCTTCTCCGCATGCACAGAAGCGTTGTACGTGCAAACCAGTAGTAAAATTAATTGAAACCCACCACTGACCTAAACTATAAATTCACCTGTGTTACTGACAAAAATAACATTAGAATTATCTATATGTAGATGCTTGCTTCAAACATACCTCAGAAGGTAGCTGTACAGAACTTATGAAATAGATAAGAAAGAGTCGCATCTTGTCTTCTGCAGTTCCCGCTGTTCAGAAAAAAGGTTTACTTAAAAAAAAACTTTCTTTAAATTATTATAAAATACATTTCACTAAAAAAAATCATCATAATAAAAAGTTTACCACTTCACTTTTGGCATTTACACCAGTAGGAAAAGTACCGACAAATTAGCAGTCGTGACATAGAACAAGAATCAATTTGGTAATTACTTATTCAGCATTTGCTTATCTTGAACCCACTCTATCTGCGATTCTCCTGAGATACTTGCTTCAGAGTGGAGATTATACTATCCCTCAATTTGCATAATAGATGGAGCAACTGTGTGTGTTAACACCAATTGAAAAAAAAAGCCTATTCATATAGAAAAATGGATAACAGAAAAAACAATGGGAAACACCAGGGTCACCAGGAATAGGGGATATGCAGTGGCATGGCTATTAAGTGTCACTTATTTCTATTGAGAATATTGAGACCACTACCCTGAAATGTATTACATCTCTTAAAATAAACAATTTGTACAATTATAAATGTGGACTTTTAGCACCAAACTGAGTCTTCTAATGTTGTAAACAAAATTAATGGAGATTCCTCTGTTCACAGGGACAGCTAAAAGAGTTATTAACCAGAAGATTTTTTTAAAAATGTAATAGTCAAGATTGGAAATACATACAATAGGTTACAAACAACAGTCTATAACTTTACTTATAGTAAAGTTTATATCTACTTTATATGGTACAAGACCTTTGGTTCTTCTAGCTCTTCTATTTCACCAGTAATAGTAGTTTTTCAACTTTTCAGGACAAAGTTATTGTTGCTATACAAGCAAGTTAAATAACTCAACTTCAGAACATTAATTAACAGAAAGGAACTTTGCAATAAATCCAAATTATACACTTACCATCAGGATCAGAAATCATATCCAAAAGTGATTTATCCAATGTGGACTTGCTCATAATTTTTTCTTCATATTCAAAATACACGTCTAGTTTCCGAGTCTGAATAAAAAGAAGTTGCCATTGGAAAGTGTTTTAGTATACGCACATAGCTATACACCCATTTCTTTTAGAAAGTAAAAAATGTTTCCATATTTTAAATATATTTTTTGCATAGTAAAAACCTGAACACAATCGCATAGTTTCTTTGAATCAGTAGTAAGTTCATAGAATAAATACAATATTTGTAAATATATATAACATGTATTATACATATGTACAGTAAATACATCTAATACATGTACATATGAATAATATATATTTTCATAGAATACAGAAAATACATAGAATACATAGATTATTATATTTTTCTTCCATGGTTCCTCAAACTCAAAGGATTTACAGATCATTCATCTGGGGGTTAATCAAATTCAGTTGCTATATCCATTGCCTTCAAAGCAGCTGCAGCACAAAATCTTTCCTTACTATTTTATTATATACTTTAAAATATTTAATCATATTGTTTACTGATTAAATTATTAGGTAAAAAAACCCAAGGTTTTAAGCAGAGGATAATTCTGCCTATCCAGAAATGGTTTACATCAAACAGGTTACAGCCAAATCATCTGAAAATAAACTTAAAACTACTTCCAATTAGGTCTAGTGGTTAAGGCACCAGGGTTGTAGAAAGCAGGAGACTGTGAGTTCTAATCTCACCTTAGCTATGAAAGACAGCTGGGTGACCTTGGGCCAATCATTTTCTCTCAGCTCAACTCAGCTCACAAGCTTGTCATTGTGGGAAAAATAGGAGGAAGATATATATTTGCCATTTTAAGTTATTTGTAAAAATAATAAAGGTGGGATACAAATAAATGTAGTGAGTAAGTAGAAGCTCNTAATGCCCGTAGGCATTAGTAAACATTATAAAATTCTATCTGATATCTAAATAATTCAACCACCTTGGATAGATTTTGGTACCTTTAAAGTCTGAACATAACAACCAAGAAGAGAATTGAAATTATTCTTGAAAACAATGGGTTGCTGAAGATTACTTATTATTTAGCATTTTGCATCTGTGAGAGTCTGAAGTGGTTCATATAAGGAATTCCATGATTTTCTTTCTATTTTATTACATGGATAGTATTTGAAAGAACACCATAATTTTTGGTGTTCTAATTTTTCATTATCTATACTTACAGGATTTGACTTCATCTCCATAAGGTTATCTAAAATGCGGGTTGCTGGAAGATTCTATAAAAAAAGTACCTTAATTTAAGTGAGTTGCAAGTAGTTTAAAACAGTAATACATACTTAGATCATTATTCAGTTCTATTATCATTAGATAATTCTTTTTGAATCATCATATGATTTGAATACAATTCCCTCATGTTTGCTCCCCTAAAAAAACATTTGACCATTTCAGACTTTATGACAGAACAAATATAACAGATAATGGAGATGTACTCTTATGTATTTTTTAAAAAGGGCATTGCTTTTTAAAATGAAGCTTGGTGGGTAATACTGAAATTAAGAAATGTATACAATTATGCAACATCCTGTGTTATTAATGAAGCAGAAATATAACATAGGACAAATAAAAAAGTACTTTTTTAAATGAAGTGCATAATTCAAGTATGCTATTCACCACTAATACATGTAACAATAGCCACACATTTCTAATCTTTCTTTATAGATGCAGCCGGCTATGCTTCAACAAATGCAACTTCAGATAGTGTAAATTTTATGATTACTGATTTAGCCTCTTGTGCAATCAAGGGTACTTGTAAAACCAAAGCACATCTTGTAATCTGTAAAAAGTATTAGTTATTGCATAGATAAAATATGTATAATCACTAAGTAGTATGCTGCTTCTAATTCAAAGATAGGATAACATTACTTTGTTTCTCTTCCCCTCCCACATCTTTTAAAATATGAAGTTGCATTAGCTTTAATGAAGACAATTTCTGGAATAGTAAGAAATCTGCCCTGTTATTCTACTTTGATATTCTGCATGCTGTCAAAGTAGCAGCAAAATGAAAAAGTGGACATCTTGAGTTACATAATTTGGACTTTGGAACTAGTAGCAAATCAAACTTCTCTAGGAAAAAAATGGAGTTTATGAAAATGCAATTAAATTATCTTACATTAATATCCATATTATTTCAGAGAGCCAGAGCATGTCACACAAAGCTCAGAACTGAAATAGAACCTTTCCACACAGGGGTAATTCAGTTCAATTCTGATCTGGTCAATTTAATTCTATTCACTTTGTTAAGCAATTTATGAAATGCTGAAGTGTTTATCCCTGTTTATCCCAGTCTGAAAAGTTTTGTAGTCTTGGGTATATGTTTATTCAAAAATAATGAATATACTTAATGTAAAAACATACCTGCTGCTTTAGTACTAAATTTTTGACTCCTTCCATCACAAACTGGGATCCAGTATTCATAACGCGTGAGAAAAGACTGAAACAAAATGTACATCATAAAGATTTGGTTTGTGTCCACATGCTTAAGTAACAAACCTTTAGTGCTGAGTCTGCATGTCAAAATATAATGCTGTTATGCATTTTTGATTGATTTGGCAATATTTGTAAATTGCCCCAATCAACTAAAACGCTGAGCAGTTAACAGATAAAAATAAAACAGCATGGCAGTAACAAAATAATGAAAAACAGTAGCATCAATGCATATCCATGATGAACATCCACCATCAACTTAGGTCAAAGACAAATTCCTGTTTTCACCAACTTACAAAATTCTAATAGGGAATTTGAGAATTTCGCTGTTTCAGAGGAAAGACTGTTTCAAAATAGGGGGCTGCTACAGAGAAGGCCTGGTGCAAAACTCACTCCCAAGTGCCTACCATATGGGGTTCTCAGCAGACCTGCTTAAGAAGTTTAGACTGGATGGGCTAATTTAATGTTGGCAAGGTGGTATCTAATCTATCCCAGTCCTATACCAACTAGAATTTTATAGATGGCAACCAGCTCTTTGAAATGGGCCTGGAAGTCTACTGGTAAGCAGTGTGGTGACTTTAGGTTCATTTTGCAATGGAAGGATTGTCCTGCTGGGAACTTGGCTGTGCATTCTAAAAATTTGCTGCACGCAACTTGTTTCCAAATGTATGTAGAATGTCTTGAAGACGTCTGGTGGTATGGCAATCATATTAATAGTTTCTATTACCCAAGCATGGATATAGGAATATCAGTCAGCTTCTTTCCATTGTTTTATTGCATTTTTTTTTTAATTTAACCTATGTGGGGGAATGTTTTAGACTGAAACTACAACATAGGATGCCAAAAGCAACAAAACACATTTGGAACTCACCCCAATGACTTTGCTGCACTATTTCCATACATAGCTGGACCTGAAGCCATTTTGGCAAAAGCTCTGTAAAATGTAAAAAGATATATATTTATATACCTGATTGGTTTTCAGCAAATGATTATGAATAAATTGTTCATTAACAAAACATAGAGAGGAAATGATAGGTGTTGAAGCTACAGGAACGTTGGGGGCAAGCAATCATGCAATACTGGAATTCAACATAATGCAAACACAAGTAGTAGAACAAAGTCAAACTAGAGTATTGGACTTTAAGAGAGCTAATTTCAATAAACTTAGAGAGAGCTTGGGAAGGATTCCATGGATGAGAATCCTCAAGGGGAAAACATCTCAAGAAGTTTGGGAAATTTTGAAAAATGAGATTATAAAAGCCCAGTCTAGCACAATTTAATGAAGAAAAAAAATAACAGCTCCCAAAAGAAACCAGCATAGCTGCATAAAGAACTCTGGGCTTCCGGTGGGGGA